ACCACGTCATCTGCAGATAGGGACAATTATCAGATTTCCTCTTTTCCTAATGGAATATGCTTTGTTTCTTTTTCCTGCCTGACTGCCCTGGCCAGAACTGCCAATGCTAAGTTGAATAGGAGTGGTGAGAGAGGGCATCCTTGTGTAGTGCCAGTTTTCAAAGGGAATGCTTCCGGTTTCTGCCCATTCAGTATGACATTGGCTGTGGGTTTGTCATAAATAGCTCTTATTATTTTGAGATACGTTCCATCAATACCTAGTTTATTGAGACTATTTCGCATAAAGGGTTGTTGAGTTTTGTCAAAGGCCTTCTCTGCATCTGTTGAGATAACTATGTGGTTTTCGTCTCTGGTTCTGTTTATGGGATGGCTTATGTTTACAGATTTGCATGTGTTAAACCAGACTTGCGTCCCAGGGATGAAGCCAAGTTGATCGTGATAGACAAGCTTTTTGATGGGCTGTTGGACTCAGTTTCCCAGTACTTTATTGAAGATTTTTGCATCGATGGTCATCACGGATATTGCCCTGTAATTTTCCTTCTTAGTTGTGTCTCTGCCACATTTTGGTATCCTGATGATGAGGCTGGTCTCCTGAAATGAGTGCAGGATTATTCCCTCTTTTTCTATTGTTTAGAATACTTTCAGAAGGTGTGGCTCCAGCTCCTCTTTGTGCCTCTGGTAGAATCTGGCTATGAACACATCTGGTCCTCCTTACTTTTTTGGTAGGTTATTGATTGCTGCCTCAATTTCAGAACTTGTTATTGGTCTATTCGGGGATTCAGCCTTGCTATCGGTCTACTCCTGGTTTAGTCTTGGGAGGGCGTAAGTGTCCAGGAATTTATTCATTTCTTCCAGATTTACTGATTTGCATAGAGGTGTTTATAGTATTCTCTGATGGCAGTCTGTACTTCTGTGGGATCCGTGGTGATATGCACTTTATCATTTCTTATCGCATCTATTTGATTATTTTCTCCTTTCTTCTTTACTATCAGCTAGCACTCTATCTATTTTGTTGGTCTTTTCATAAAACCGGCTCCTGGATTGTTGTTGTTGTATTAAATTTTTTTTTTTTTTGCCTGTCTATCTTTTTGAGTTCTTCTCTAATCTTAGTTATTTCTTGTCTTCTGCTAGCTTTTGAATTTGATTGATCTTGCTCTTCTAGTTCTTTTAATCATGACGTTAGGGTGTCGATTTTAGATCTTTCCTCGCTTCTCATGTGGGCATTAAATGTTGTAAGTTTCCTTCTACCCATTGCTTTGATCGTGTCCCAGAGATTCTGGTATGCTGTGTTTTCATTCTCATTGGTTTCAAACAACATCTTTATTTCTGCCTTCATTTCATTATCCATCCAGTAGTCGCTCAGGACCAGGCTGTTAAGTTTCTGTGTAGATTTGGGGTTTTGAGTGACTTACTTAATCCTAAGTTTTAATTGGATTGCACTGTGGTCTGAGAGAGTATTTGTCTCTGACTATTTTTTCTTTTGTATTTGCTGAGGAGAGTTTGCCTTGCAACTATGTGGTCAATTTTAGAATAAGTGTAATGTGGTGGTGAGAGGAATGTATATTCTATGGATTTGGGGTGGAGAGTTCTGTAGATGTCTTTTAGGTCTGCCTGGTCCAGATCTGGCTCACATCCTGGATATCCTTGTTAATTTTCCATCTTGTTGATCTCTCTAATATTGACAGTGGGTGTTAAAGTCTCCCACTATTATTGTGTGGGACTCTACGCCTTTTTGTAGGTCATTAAGAACTTGCTTTATGTATCGGGGTGCTCCTGTATTGGGTGCATATTTATTTAGGATAGTTAGCTCTTCATGTTGCATTGATTCCTTTACCATCTTTGATCTTTGTTGGTCTAAAGTGTGTTTTATCAGAGACTAGGAATGCGAACCCTGCTTTATTTTTTTATTTTGCTTTTGCTTTCCATTTGCTTGGCAAATCTTCCTTGATCCTTTATTTTGAGCCTATGTGTGTCTTTGCACGTGAGATGGGTCTCTTGAATACAGCACACTGATGGGCCTTGACTCTTTATCCAACTTGCCACTCTGTGTCTTTTAATTGGGCCATTTAACACATTTACATTAAAGGTTAATATCGTTACGTGTGAATTTGATGCTTCCATTTTGATGCTAGCTGTTTGTTTTTCCAGTTAGTTGATGCAGTTTCTTCATAGTGCTGATCGTCTTTACAATTTGGTATGCTTTGTGCAGTGGCTGGTACTGGTTGTTCCTTTCCATGTTTAGTGCTTCTTTCAGGAGCTCTTGTAAGGCAGGCCTGGTGGTGACAGAATCTCTCAGCAGTTGCTTGTCTTTAAAGAATTTTATTTCTCCTTTGCTTGTGAAGGTTAATTGGGCTGTATATAAACTTCTGGGTTGAAAGTTCTTTTCTTTGAGGATGTTGAATATTGCCCCCCACTGTCTTCTGGCTTGTAGGGTTCCTGCCAAGAGATCCACCATGATTCCGATGGGCTTCCCTTTCTCTCTGGCTGCCCTTAGCATTTTTCCTTTCATTTCAACCCTGGTGAATCTGACCATTATGTGTCTTGGGGTGGCTCTTCTCAAGGAGCCTCTTTGTGGTGTTCTCTGTCTTTCTGAATTGAATGTTGACGTGTCTGGCTAGGTTTGGGAAGTTCTCCTAGATAAAAATATCCTGAAGAGTGTTTTCCAACTTGGTTCCTTTCTCCCTGTCACACTCAGGTACACCAATCAAACGTAGATTTAGTCTTTTCACATCATCCCATATTTCTTGGAGGTTTTGTTCATCTATTCCCACTCCTTTTTCTCGAATCTTGCCTTCTCGCTTTATTTCACTGAGCTGATCTTCAATCTCTGATATCCTTGCTTCCACTTGATCAGTTCAGCTATTGGAACTTGCGTAGGCTGCACGAAGTTCTCCTGCTGTGTTTTTCAGCTCCATCAAGTCGTGTATGTTTTTCTCTTCGCTGGTTGTTCTAGTTAGCATTTTGTCTAACCTTTTTTCAAGGTTCTTAGCTTCCTTGCACTGGGTTAGAACAGGCTCCTTTAGCTTGGAGCAGTTTGTTATTACCCACCTTCTGAAACCTGCTTCTGTCAATTCACCAAACTCATTCTCCATCCAGTTTTGTTCCCTTGCTGGTGAGGAGTTAGGATCCCCAGGAGGAGAAGAGGCATTCTGGATTCTCGAGTTTTCAGCCTTTTTGCACTACTTTCTTCCCATCTTTGTGGATTTAGGTACCTTTCATCTTTGAAGTTGATGATCTTTGGATGGGGTCTCTGAGTGGACGTCATCTCTGTTGATGTCAAAACTATTTCCTTCTGTTTGTTAGTTTTCCTTCTAACAGTCAGAATCCTCTGCTGCAGGTGTGCCGGAGTTTGCTGGACATCCGCTCCAGACCAATGTTTGCCTGCGAATCACCAGCAGGGGCTGCAGAACAGCAAAGATTGCTGCCTGTTCCTTCCTCTGGTGGCCTTGTACCAGAAGGGTACCTGCCAGCCAGAACTGTCCTGTATGAGGTGTCTGTCAGCTCCTGCTGAGCAGCGTCTCCCATTCAGGATGTACGGGGTCAAGGAGCCACTTGAGCAGAGAGTCTGTCCCTTATTACAGCTCAAAGGCTGTGCTCCCTTCAGAGCTACCATGCAGCGATGTTTAAGTCTGCTGAAGCTATACCCACAACTACCCTTTTCCCAGGTGCTGTGTGTCCCAGGAAGGTGGGGGCTTCATTTATAGGTCCCTGGCGGGCTTCTGCCTTTTTTCAGGGAGGCCCTGCCCAGCAAGAGGGGAGTCGAGTGACACAGTCTGCCTGCAGTGGCCTTGCTGATCTGCCGTGGGCTCTACCCAGACACTGTGTAAACCTCCTGGCCACTTTGTTACACAGGCGAGGTTAAATCCACCTACACAAGTCTCAGCAATGGTGGGCGCCCCTCCCCTGCAAGCCCAAATGTCCCAGGTCAAGCGCAGACTGCTGTGCTGGCTGCGAGAATTTCAATCCAGTGGACCTTTCAAGCCAGTGGATCTTAGCTTGCTAGTCTTCATGCGGGCGGGACCCGCCGAGCCAGATCACTTGGCTCCCTGACTTCAGCCCACTTTTTCAGAGAAATGAGGGATTCTGTCTCGCTGGCATTTCGGGTACCACTGGAATATGAAAAAAGGAAAGAAGAAAGAAAAGAACTACTGCAGCTAGCTCAGTGTCTTCCCAAAAGGCCACCCAGGTTTGTGCTGGAAATCCAGACACTGGTGGTGCAGGCGCTGGAGGTAATCTCTGTTCTGCGGGTTGTGAAGGCCTCGGGAAAAACGCAGTGTCTGAGCCAGAGTGCCGGAGTACCAGGAAAACTCCCTAATGGCTTCCCTTGTCTAGGAGAGGAAGTTCCCCGGCCCCTTTCCACTTCCCAGGTGAGACGACGCCCGACCATGCTTTGGCTCGCCCTTCTTGGGCTGCCTTCACTGTCNTGACTTACTTAATCCTAAGTTTTAATTGGATTGCACTGTGGTCTGAGAGAGTATTTGTCTCTGACTATTTTTTCTTTTGTATTTGCTGAGGAGAGTTTGCCTTGCAACTATGTGGTCAATTTTAGAATAAGTGTAATGTGGTGCTGAGAGGAATGTATATTCTATGGATTTGGGGTGGAGAGTTCTGTAGATGTCTTTTAGGTCTGCCTGGTCCAGATCTGGCTCACATCCTGGATATCCTTGTTAATTTTCCATCTTGTTGATCTCTCTAATATTGACAGTGGGTGTTAAAGTCTCCCACTATTATTGTGTGGGACTCTACGCCTTTTTGTAGGTCATTAAGAACTTGCTTTATGTATCGGGGTGCTCCTGTATTGGGTGCATATTTATTTAGGATAGTTAGCTCTTCATGTTGCATTGATTCCTTTACCATCTTTGATCTTTGTTGGTCTAAAGTGTGTTTTATCAGAGACTAGGAATGCGAACCCTGCTTTATTTTTTTATTTTGCTTTTGCTTTCCATTTGCTTGGCAAATCTTCCTTGATCCTTTATTTTGAGCCTATGTGTGTCTTTGCACGTGAGATGGGTCTCTTGAATACAGCACACTGATGGGCCTTGACTCTTTATCCAACTTGCCACTCTGTGTCTTTTAATTGGGCCATTTAACACATTTACATTAAAGGTTAATATCGTTACGTGTGAATTTGATGCTTCCATTTTGATGCTAGCTGTTTGTTTTTCCAGTTAGTTGATGCAGTTTCTTCATAGTGCTGATCGTCTTTACAATTTGGTATGCTTTGTGCAGTGGCTGGTACTGGTTGTTCCTTTCCATGTTTAGTGCTTCTTTCAGGAGCTCTTGTAAGGCAGGCCTGGTGGTGACAGAATCTCTCAGCAGTTGCTTGTCTTTAAAGAATTTTATTTCTCCTTTGCTTGTGAAGGTTAATTGGGCTGTATATAAACTTCTGGGTTGAAAGTTCTTTTCTTTGAGGATGTTGAATATTGCCCCCCACTGTCTTCTGGCTTGTAGGGTTCCTGCCAAGAGATCCACCATGATTCCGATGGGCTTCCCTTTCTCTCTGGCTGCCCTTAGCATTTTTCCTTTCATTTCAACCCTGGTGAATCTGACCATTATGTGTCTTGGGGTGGCTCTTCTCAAGGAGCCTCTTTGTGGTGTTCTCTGTCTTTCTGAATTGAATGTTGACGTGTCTGGCTAGGTTTGGGAAGTTCTCCTAGATAAAAATATCCTGAAGAGTGTTTTCCAACTTGGTTCCTTTCTCCCTGTCACACTCAGGTACACCAATCAAACGTAGATTTAGTCTTTTCACATCATCCCATATTTCTTGGAGGTTTTGTTCATCTATTCCCACTCCTTTTTCTCGAATCTTGCCTTCTCGCTTTATTTCACTGAGCTGATCTTCAATCTCTGATATCCTTGCTTCCACTTGATCAGTTCAGCTATTGGAACTTGCGTAGGCTGCACGAAGTTCTCCTGCTGTGTTTTTCAGCTCCATCAAGTCGTGTATGTTTTTCTCTTCGCTGGTTGTTCTAGTTAGCATTTTGTCTAACCTTTTTTCAAGGTTCTTAGCTTCCTTGCACTGGGTTAGAACAGGCTCCTTTAGCTTGGAGCAGTTTGTTATTACCCACCTTCTGAAACCTGCTTCTGTCAATTCACCAAACTCATTCTCCATCCAGTTTTGTTCCCTTGCTGGTGAGGAGTTAGGATCCCCAGGAGGAGAAGAGGCATTCTGGATTCTCGAGTTTTCAGCCTTTTTGCACTACTTTCTTCCCATCTTTGTGGATTTAGGTACCTTTCATCTTTGAAGTTGATGATCTTTGGATGGGGTCTCTGAGTGGACGTCATCTCTGTTGATGTCAAAACTATTTCCTTCTGTTTGTTAGTTTTCCTTCTAACAGTCAGAATCCTCTGCTGCAGGTGTGCGGGAGTTTGCTGGACATCCGCTCCAGACCAATGTTTGCCTGCGAATCACCAGCAGGGGCTGCAGAACAGCAAAGATTGCTGCCTGTTCCTTCCTCTGGTGGCCTTGTACCAGAAGGGTACCTGCCAGCCAGAACTGTCCTGTATGAGGTGTCTGTCAGCTCCTGCTGAGCAGCGTCTCCCATTCAGGATGTACGGGGTCAAGGAGCCACTTGAGCAGAGAGTCTGTCCCTTATTACAGCTCAAAGGCTGTGCTCCCTTCAGAGCTACCATGCAGCGATGTTTAAGTCTGCTGAAGCTATACCCACAACTACCCTTTTCCCAGGTGCTGTGTGTCCCAGGAAGGTGGGGGCTTCATTTATAGGTCCCTGGCGGGCTTCTGCCTTTTTTCAGGGAGGCCCTGCCCAGCAAGAGGGGAGTCGAGTGACACAGTCTGCCTGCAGTGGCCTTGCTGATCTGCCGTGGGCTCTACCCAGACACTGTGTAAACCTCCTGGCCACTTTGTTACACAGGCGAGGTTAAATCCACCTACACAAGTCTCAGCAATGGTGGGCGCCCCTCCCCTGCAAGCCCAAATGTCCCAGGTCAAGCGCAGACTGCTGTGCTGGCTGCGAGAATTTCAATCCAGTGGACCTTTCAAGCCAGTGGATCTTAGCTTGCTAGTCTTCATGCGGGCGGGACCCGCCGAGCCAGATCACTTGGCTCCCTGACTTCAGCCCACTTTTTCAGAGAAATGAGGGATTCTGTCTCGCTGGCATTTCGGGTACCACTGGAATATGAAAAAAGGAAAGAAGAAAGAAAAGAACTACTGCAGCTAGCTCAGTGTCTTCCCAAAAGGCCACCCAGGTTTGTGCTGGAAATCCAGACACTGGTGGTGCAGGCGCTGGAGGTAATCTCTGTTCTGCGGGTTGTGAAGGCCTCGGGAAAAACGCAGTGTCTGAGCCAGAGTGCCGGAGTACCAGGAAAACTCCCTAATGGCTTCCCTTGTCTAGGAGAGGAAGTTCCCCGGCCCCTTTCCACTTCCCAGGTGAGACGACGCCCGACCATGCTTTGGCTCGCCCTTCTTGGGCTGCCTTCACTGTCTAACCAGTCCCAATGAGATGGACCAGGTACCTTAGTTGGAAATGCAGAGAGTACCTGTCTTCTGCCTCGTTGCAGCTGGGAGCTGCGCGTCGGAGCTGTTCCTATTCGGCCAACTTGCCACAAATCCCAGTTTAACTTTAAACAACCTTGTTTCGTTAAGACAAATACTCTGTGCTTTGTTACTGATCCTGAGAATTAAGATTTCCAGAATCTGAGATGCTCTTTTTCCCACAAGAAACTAAGCAACATAGGTAATATGGTTCACAGTCCTTTGACAAATTCAGACTTTAGTCTTATGCAGAATCTAAACATATGTTAGTGTTCATTTAAAGTAGAAATCTATTGTGGCATAAAGGAAGATTTATAGAATGGTCACTCATGATTTTATTCATAAGTACATCTCGAAAATCTGGAGAACAGTAAAACATTCTTCCAGGCCACAGAGTCTCCTTAGAATTATGAGCCCCACAATGTCTTCAGCTCATTTCTGGTCCTGATGGACATATACCGAGAAAGCAGCAACCCAGGCCCAACTTTGAAGTGGAGATAGAAGTGGGTCAGGAATATGGGAAGAGATGGGAGAGGAAAGAATTCTGTGTCAAGAGCTGCTTTACGTGAAGAAAGCTAAAACGGATTTATTGCCTTGACACAGCTACCTCGGTTCCCCTAGGCAGCTCCTAAAGTGAACACCTGTGATATCCATGTTAAGACCCCTGTTGGTTACCAAACTTAAAAATGATTTGGGCTATAAGAGGGGAAAGAACTTGAAGAGCAGCTGCCACAGATACGGCACCTGCAATATTTGGCTATGCTGTCTTGCAACAGGTCTGCTTATACGGCCTTCTATTGCTAGTAAATAAAAAGAAGGCACTTCTTGTGTCTGATAGGTATAGATTTAGTAGAAGGAGAAGACTCCTAAACAACGCTGTTATGAGAGCTACTACCTTGGCGATGCAATAGACCATCAGAGTACTCCTGGCTCGGTTTGCTAAACATATAAAATTGGCATAAACTTAGCCAAGGAATACATAGACTTGTCCTTTTGCAATCCTTTAGCAAGTCAGTAAAATCAAGGTTTGCGAACGTTCGTTTTTTACGCTTTTGCAGAATTGCAATTAAACAAAAGAGCTTCTGCACAGCAAAAAAGAGACTATCAACAGAGTAAACAGATAACCTACAGAATGGGAAAAAAAATAGTTTGGCAAACTATGCATCTGGCGAAATCTAACATCTAGTTATCTACAAGGAACTTAAACACATTTACAAGGAACAAAACCGAACAACTCCATTAAAAAGTGGACAAAAGTTATGAACGGACACTTTTCCAAAGGGTACATGCATGTAGCCAACAAGCATATGAAAATAAGCTCAACATCACTGCTCATTAGAGAAATGCCAATCAAAGCCACAGCGGGATACCATCTCACACCAGTCAGAATGGCTACTATTAAGGGTAAAAAAACAACAGATGCTGGTGAAGTTGTGGAGAAAAAGGAATGCTAATACACTGTTGGTGGGAGTATAAATTGGTTCAACGCATTGTGGAAAACAGTGTGGCAATTCCTCAAAGGCCAGAAGACAGAAGTACCACGCAACTCAGCAATCCCATTACTAGCTATTTACCCAAAGGAATAAAAATCATTCTACCATTAAAAACCCATGCATGTGTTATGTTCAGTGCAGCGCTGTTCACAATAGCAAAGACGTGGAATCAACCTAAATGCCCATCGATGATGACTGGGTAAAGGAAGTGTGGTACCTATACACTGTGGGACACTAAGAAACCATTAAAAAGCACAAGATCATGTCTTTTGCAGGGTGGGTGGAGGTGGAGGCCATTACCCTTAGCAAAGTAATGCAGGAATAAAAACCAAATACCACCTGTTCTCATTCATAAGTGGGAGCTAAAGGATGGGAACGAGTGGATGCATAGAGGGGAGCAACACACACTGGGACCTGTCAGAGTGTGCAGGGCGGGAAGAGATAGAGCAGGAAAAATAACTAGTGGGTATTAGGCTTAATACCTGGGTGACGAAAATAATCTGTACAACAAAGCCCCATGATAACACGTTTACCTGTGTAAGAAAACCAAACTTGTACCTTTGAATCTACAATAAAACTGAAAAAAAGAGAATCAATGTATTTGTTTTTACTAACTGTCGTTAGTCAACCACGCTTGCATGAAAGTTAAGCACACATACGTAACCAGAGGTTGACCGTCTGACAAATTTCCATAGATTGGCATTCTAGGAGAACAAGTTTTATCAATTATTCTTTCACTAGAAGAAAGCACTCCTATCTCTGGGTAAACATGTTTCCTAAACTAGAGGTTTTTCATATTGTGTTTATTGTCGACCACAGTGAAAATACTATGCTTTTAAGTAATAGCAAAAGGTGCGTCTGTCTGATCTGAGGTGATGATTATAAATTGATGATAAACTATCAGAACTTTAGTAGTTAATCCCTGACTTTGTAAATTGATTTTAAAAGCTACCTAAACTTTAGTAGTTTAGGTATTAACCTGATATTAAAAGCCTGCTATCTCCTAATTTAAAATTCCTGTAGAAGATATTAAAAAGAGTAAGGAATTTCTCTCTCTAGCTTGTCAAGATAAACACATTACATTCTAAACTGCTCTGACGTCTGTCTATCTCCACTGGAGGGATGCTGAGCAGAATTGACTCAAGTCTCTTCGTTCTCGTTATTACACTTCTGCTCTCCTTTCTCTATGGCTGTGTCTAGATTCCAGGTTTAGTGGCCTCAGTGTCATTATATCAGGCCTATTAAAATCTCTTATAAGTAACAGAGAGGCCTCAAAGAAGAGTGAGAGCCCTAAGACAGTGCTAAGAAGTACTGCTCCTAAGTCTCTGAAGGCAACAAACCTTTCATTTTTTCCCCAAAAATATATCTCTGTCAACCGGGGTCACCATTTTTTGTTTCCCCACTGTTCTGTTTCTTCACTGTGGATTTAATATTCATCATATCTTGTAATGATCAGTATCAGAAGCTGAACTACGATTCAAATGTTTGTCAAGCGTTTTCTATGTGCAAGGCACTATACCAACTGATGGTCTATAAGAGTAAGGCAAGTTTACACTTAGTGGAGGAGCAAATACTGACCAAATAAGTATGTAGTTAATTAAGTCCTTTAATTTAATAAAAAACTTGCCTTATTATTATAGTCCACCTATATATCTCTATGTCTATCTCTATACTTGAGAACCAGCACAATCATTTTTTAAACTTCCAAAATGCATCCTTGCCTGAGGTTCATTGTATATGACTGAATTTATAGACATGTTGAATCTTTGATCTAATAATTTTCAAAAATAAAACTGATGAGAAAGCTTAGACATCTGGAAGAAGCTAGTGAGTTCTTATGCACAGACCCTACATGGGTCCCAATCCCTTAGACACTACATAGCTGACGAATTTCAGTTTAATTGGAAATCGTCTGTGACCTTGTCATTATTGGTCTTGTTTTGGAAGGTCTAATTAGAGACTAGTTACTTACAGTGTTGCCTAAATTTGCAATTATTGACATGGTCAAAAAAAAGGGGGAAAAAAGTAATTTGTAATGTAAAAGTCACATAGGCATTGGTACAATGAAAACTAGGCTCCAGAATGTGGTTCCAGTGAATTTTTTGAATATAAGGTATCAAGGAAAGCATCATGAAGACCTCTATCAAGAGAATGAAATGAAACTGGGCTCTGGGGCTTTCTTGTTAGCCAGACTATGGAAATACTAACAAATAGCTGGATTATAGAAGCTACTGGTAACCAGCACCTCTCATGGACTTATCCTGACTAGTTCTGGGACAGACACAGATAGGCCTGCGGGTTGGAAATGTGTTTGTTGAGAATGTACATTCTTCTTCTGCCTTGTCCTTATCCTTCATACTATGCTTCCTATATCCTGGAGATGAGCAGTAACGCATATTGAGCAGTTTCTATTGCCAACGTTTGCTGTACAAATTTGCCGTCATAGGGAACATTGTCTCCTTTGTCATGAAACAGATTTTTTCTCATACTTATATGTAAAACATTGAAGTTTGACTTTGGCTAATTCTGGCAATGGTGCAAAAACAAATCTGAAAAGATAACAGATCCAGCTGACTTTTGCACGCTTTTTCTTTCCCCTATGCCCACTTTACCTTCAACCCCTCATCATGTGGAATGAACCTGTTCAGCACCTGCAGAAGGAGTCTGGGGTCTCAGAGGGAAAACATGCATACTACTTTGATCTAATAATTTTAAACAGTAAAACTGATGAAAATGATTAGACACCTGGAAGAAGCTGGTGGGTTCTTATGCAGAGACCCTGCATGGGTCCCAATCCCTTAGACACTGCACAGCTGAAGAATTTTAGTTTAAGCAGAAGTCACCCCTTACTTTGTCATCATCGGTCTTCCTTCAGCAGATCTAAGTAGAGACTAGTTGTTACAGTGTCGCCTACATTAATAACTGTTGATAGGCTCAAAAAAAAGAGAAAAGAAAAGTAATTTAGGGAGACCATGTATTTTAAAACTAGTTCTCCTAAACTGTAATTAAATGTATATTTAAATGTATAAAATTATTCAATTATTTGGAATGATTAGATATAGTTAGAAATCATAGCTTTCTATTGTCAAGTCTCCAACAGCTGCACAAAAACGGCTGCTGCTTTCCATACCCAATTTTATTAATTATAAAAAGTTGTCTTGAACGGAGAACACTGCATTCTTTTTACAGTCTGATTTTACAGATTAAAAGGTTTTTCTTAAACTGATTTGAAGAAGTGATAAAAGTTAAAACCTCTTAAAAACTTTTTCTTTTTTTAAGACTAGTATTTTACATCCTTTCATGTAACTTCCAGATAAGATTATAATGTAGTCTCTTTTCAATATTCTGAAAGTCTTCCAAGTATATAAAGTTGAGTCTTCACTAATGCATGTCAGAGCACTATGTGCCTGTACCAAGGAAAAAAATATCTGCAGTCTTTTAAAAAATATACTTCCTGGCCCGGCACGGTGTGGCCCACGCCTGTAATCCCAGCACTCTGGGAGGCCGAGGCAGGCGGATCACGAGGACAAGAGGTCGAGACCATCTTGGCCATGGTGAAACCCCATCTCTACTAAAAATACAAAAATTAGCAGGGTGTGGTGGCACGTGCCTGAGGTCCCAGCTACTTGGGAGGCCGAGGCGGAAGAATCGCTTGAACCCAGGAGGCGGAGGTTGCAGTGAGCCGAGATTGCGCCACTGCACTCCAGCCGGGCGGCAGAGCAAGACTCCGTCTCCGTCTCTCTCTCTCTCTCTCTCTCTCTCTCTGTCTCTCTCTCTCTCTTTCTCTCTGTATGCATGTGTGTATGTATATGTATATGTATATGTATATGTATATGTATATGTATATGTATATGTGTGCGTATATATATAATGTATACTTCCTAACCCTATTCTGTAAGTAAAATGTGTAGTCTTTTATCAAACTACATTCTATGGCACACTCAGTAGAAATAAAATGTTCTATAAATAAGCTGCAAACCCATACACACCTCTTAAACTGGGGGAATCTTTTTAAATAACTGAGTTTTACAGTTAATAATTACGTAGTGAAATATATTTGTCATTTTTTCTCAATTTCATTTTTAGAACATTTTCCTTTTTTTTTTTTTATTTTTTTTCCAGACAAACTCCCCCTCTGTTGCCTATACTAGAGTGCAGTGGCACAATCTCAGCCCACTGCAACCTCCGCCTCCTGGGTTCAAGTGACTCTCCTGCCTCAGCCTCCCAAGGAGCTGGGATTTCAGGTGCATACCACCATGCCCACCTAACTTCTGTATTTTTAGTAGAAATGGGGTTTCATCATGTTGGCCAGGCTGGATGGGAACTCCTAACCACAGGTGATCCGCCCGCCTCAGCCTCCCAAAGTGCTGGGATTACAGGCATGAGCTACTGTGCCTGTCCAGATTTTACCATTTTGGAACTTATTATCTGAAAGGAAAGCTTCAATCAGGCAAAGAAGTGCAGATTTTTAATTAATTTTTTTTCACTGCAGCTTCAAATTCTTGGGCTTTAAGCAATCCTCCCTGTTCAGCCTCCCAAGCAACTAGGACAACAGGCAAAAGCTACTGAACCCAGCTCAGATTTTTGACATTTTAGCACCAATCAGTTTAGGCATTAGCTGTCAAATGAATTATTCCAAATGATGCATCTGTTAAACAATGCAAATTTAAAATTAAGGTAGCAGGATAGTTTCAGCAGTTTTAAAATACATATAGTTACTCATGCGTTCAATAATTAAATCTAGTTAAATCCTTCATTTTTATTATAGATACATCTAGTTTTACCAGCCAATAGTCTTTTAGATTTTGGAATCTGTTGCTGATTTTTAACTAACAGAAGACCAGGGAACGAACAACCGTTGGCAGGACAACAAAATAACCAAAAACAGCACAGTCTGGGTCACTTCTGGAGTGGCTTCTGCTCCCTCTTGCTTTATCCTTGACATAGGAGAACAATCATTTCATATTAATTCAGAAACTGTTTCATGATTTTAACTATCCTCCTGCTGTCAGAGGTATTCAAGCCAGAGAATGGATTCTTTCTTTCTTAGATCCTGGAAATTTCTTTGTCCTGAGATGTGGAAGAAAAAAAAAATTCTCATAAGCTGCCTCAAAGCTTGGCTCCATTTTGATAAGTGTCTCTCATCACTCTGTTTGCCAGGTATCATTAATAAAATTTCTAACCTCATGCTTTTCAGAAATAGGCACATAACTTCCCTGACCTCTCATGTCACTTTCAGCTAGTCAAAGTATGACTGGAGAGCTCAGTCTAGGTGAGGGCTCTTAAAGCTTAAGAGAAGCTAGAAATATCTTGCAATGGTGAGCAAAAAGTTCTGAGATGAGAGCATTGGGTCATTCTAAGACAAAGGTGGCAGTACATGAGGGCACTAAGAAATAATGTGAACTGGAGAATCCATATGAAACCCCAGGGTATATCATGTTTTTTACCCCAGTCAACACCTAAATTTTATCTAGGTCCAATAAAAGCCTCACAGTTTCAATGTACCTACAATGAGCTTCCTGGACCTTCAGCCCCATTCCTTTGGTTTGCGAGTAAAAAACAAAAGCCGACCATCCAGTTTGATAGATGAAGATCACATCCTCTCTGAGAGCAGTTTCTAGCCTATTAGCACCCCTGCACCTGGCGTTGACAATTCTCGAGACTCTACGGCATGATCAAGGATGATGATGATTGGGAAATGATTCAGAAGAATGACTGATGCTCCCCTTACCCAGATTGCTCCTGGCCTGGTCACATGGAGAGAGAACGTTACTTTCCAGGAGAACACAATGGTTGACGCTTTAACCTCAGGAAGAAAGGCAGAGAATATCACTGTCATCTTGGCCATCCCTCTGACACAACGGGCAGGTGAAAATTATCTAGAGAAGTGCTGGTGGTACCAAGGGACAGGTTCTTAACCTCCTGTGCCAGTGGTCCTCAGTGGTGACATGGAGCACTAATAGCACTAATTGCCTAAGTTTAAGATGAAATACAACATCTTAAGAATGCCAGAAATGTTCTGTATATTGATCTAAGTGTGAGTTTGTAACAACAGTGTATTTGCCAAAGTCCATGGAGCTGTTTATGTAACGTTTTATACTATAGTACTTTTGGGGGAAATATGATCTACAAAATACATCTGGCAAAGAGAAAATGCATGCATAGTAAATGCACAGCTCAAGGAATTATAAGATGAACATGTATCTGTGAACTATACCTTCAAAAAGAACATCAGTTATTGACATCATAAAAGCCCTCTTTGTTAATATCCCTTCAAGGCATCTATAACCATAGTTTTAACATTTAGACTTTCCATATGGAATCATACATTATGTACCATTTTGTGTCTGACTTCCTTGGCTCATCAGGCTGAGACTGAACCACGTACCAATTCTCATGAATATGATATGGGAGCGGGACAGGGAAGTGCTACGTAGAGAAAGGCAGGGTGCCTGGTGAGGGCTCCACCCTCAGGCCTGTGGCCACAAACCTAGGTGAGGACTGGCACTCCTGTTTTCACACTCAAATGCTGCATTTGCCAAGACCACCCTGGCCCACTACGCCCCCCATCCTGTGCCTATAATAATCCCTAGACCATAGCAGGGACACTCACAAGTGGCTGGATGGCAAGAAGAACACACTGGCAGAAGAACACACAACAGGCCATGGACAATAGAACAATGCAGACACCGACGGAAATTCAACCAAGGGCGGTGAAAGTAGAGTGCAGCCGCTGAGTGGCCCAACTCCAGGGGAAGACCACTTTCCCACTCCATCTCTCTTCTGGCTCGCCATCCGTCTAGTGAGAGCTACTTCCCCCGCTCAGTAAAACCTTGCACTCATTCTGCAAGCCCACGTGTGATCTGATGTTTCCTGTGCACTAGGGAAAAAACCCCATGATACAGAAAGCCCTCTGCCCTTCTGACAAGGCAAGGGGTCTACGTGAGCTGATTAACACAAGCCACCTGCCTACGGCAAAGCTGAAAGAGCACACTGTAACACATGCCCACCGGAGCTTCAGGAGCCATAAACATTCAACCTTACCCACCGCCAGGGGGTTGGGGCCCACACTCTCCACAATCTGCCCGCCTGCTTGCTCCCCGGACTGAAGGGGAGTGCCGCTCCCCGTGTCTAACACTCTGCCGGGGGATAGGGGGATAGAACTTTTCTTGTTTCAACTGGGGAGTCATCTGGGGTCCCGGAAGGTGAGTGCAAATGTGAAACTGTCAGATCTGCCTCTTTTCCAAAACCCTGCCCCCTCTCTTTCTTACAGACAAAAGGATCTGTTTCCCTTCAAGGAGATTTAACTGCCCTAAGGGGGCTGGTCAAAACCCCCATATTTTAGGTGCCCTAAGCGGGCTGGTCAAAACCCCAACTTTGTCTCTTTTCTCTCTCTCGTGGTTTGAAATGGCTGTTAACTCTTCCTTTATAACGTTAAGGGTTTTGCTACAGGCTGCAGCAATGCCATTAAGTAAAATGGCTCAGCTGCCAGAAGTGCAAATCTGATGAACTGTCCTTAGAGGTGCCATCTCTGCCTCCAGCCCCACAGAGGCAGACCCACACAGCTCAGGGAGCCTCCCCTTACCTTGTTTCCTCCCAGCGTGGAAACCCGGGCGCGTTCACAGCATGCAAAGGCCGTGTCTAACAGCCATGAGCTGCGGTAGGTGAGAGAAAACCACGGTGGTAGCCAGGACCTCACAGGGCTGGCAAGCAAGTGCTTCTTGCCTGTCACACCAATGGAACCTTTCCTCTCCTGGCCAAGGGATTCAACCAAGTATGAACCAGAGAAAGGATACAAGGATTAAAGGGACCCGCTTGCACAGGGCAAGGAGGTCTTTCCCTAGAACCTCCCCGTTTTGACCCTTAGCCTGTTTTTTCTACTTTTTTCCTTTTCTAAGCGAGAGGACTCCCATTTCCCAACACTCTATTTCTGATAGGGAAGTTAACAAAGAACCATCCCTTGCTGGCTGATAACTGCAAATTCAGCAGGCTCATTTGAGACACTGTCCAAACAGAAGCAGTCTCTGAAATACCTTTTCGGTCCCCAACTTCATTCCAAGCCTCCGGCTGAGACCTTAGAAAGAAAGACCAGGTCAGAGGGACCCAAAGCCAGGCAACAGGCACAATGTAAGTAGGCAGCACTAATTCCTGTTGGCTCAACCCCCAACACCATGGAAGGAGGCCATACTCCATGGCATAAACAGGCGCAGAGAACTCAAAGTTTGCCAGCAGCAGGGAGAAAGGAGGCACACGTGAGGGTGGTTAATTCCTATTCTCCAGGTTTTCCCTGCTCCATGGGTCCACGCTGCATTGGTACCTATGGGCAACACCTGCCGAGGTCACTGAGACTGAGGCATAAGAGGTGGAAGGGAAGGGAGGATACTAGCTTTCCTTCTCCATCACACACTCAAGTTTTTGCTTCAGCAAAACTGAAGTTAAGGAAATGAGACATGCCTCTATTCCCTGACTTTCAGAATGGGCAACCAGCTCTCTTCACCACTCCCAGCTTATATTCCTCTGCTTCTTGTGTATCCTGAACCATTGAGACTGCTTTGACCCTCAGAATCTGGGGGAAAATGCCTGATGGCCCTCAAAGGTTTGGAGAAATTATGAAGGACTGGGTTAGCCCTGAGACGGAACCGGTCAGTTCAATTCTATACACCATCCGGCAGTTGGAACGTTTTCATCGACGTGAGAACAGATTTCTGGCCCCCACGTATGCAGGCCTTCTATGCCTTGCAAGGCAATCCAGAACTTTGCCAACAGTGTAGGATTGATCCAGTCCTGCTGTTTGGCATCTCAGGGAAGGCTGCAAGGGGCCAGCCTAGGAAATTAAGGATCCGAGTCCCAGAGGCAACCCCAGCAGATGAGCCAGCTTCCTCCAGCTCTGCTCCTCCAGGTCCACCGAAACCTCCGTATCCAGCTTCAGCCTCTCACTTGTCCCCTCCTAGAAATCCTTGCCCTACACAAGCCCCAGTCTCACTCTTGCCCCTCCATCAAATTGTGATAACCTACCCTTTGTTAGCCTAACCAATTCTCTCTTTCTTAGCTGAGAGCCGTACAGACTGCGGGATAGCTTCTTGGGCTGGACAGACTCCATGTTAGCGTCTTCAACTTGCCCAGCCCCTCCCCCGACTTCTTCCCTTCCCCGAAGCAGGTAGCCGGGCTAAGCTGACTACAAGCAGACAATGGAGTGTCCTTAATGATAAGATACCGAGTTAAGCTGTACCAGCCTCTCCTAGGGATGTGTCTGCTGATGGTATCATCCGCCCCTCGGAATGTGCCCGCTGATAACCAGAATCCCCTACATCTGCAACTGCTTATCTTTCTGCAACAGTTTACCTTTTAATTTTTGCTCGTTCTGCTTCTGTAAAACTTGCTCGAGCTAGGCTCCCCCTTCCCTCCTTTAAGCAAGGCATAAAAAGAAACAAAGCCCCTTCCTCGGGGCCGAGAGAATTTTGCGCATGAGCCGTCTCTCGGTCACCAGCAAATGAAGGGCTCCTGATTCAATCTCAGAGTGTGGTGCTCTCTCTAACTCGCTGGGTACAACATTTTGTAGGCCCCAGCGACACTTTTGCCACCGGGCGTGACCGGACTCATTCCGGGCTCCCCCGGACGAATGGTGGGCCATAGGGGATTCACCCCTGAGATGTTCCAGGACTCCACAGGCCGCCACCTTCTTGAGGGGAACAAATTGACTGCCGGCTGCCCACTAAATTCAGCTCCTGAGTCCTCAGTCTCTGATCCTGGGATGGTAAGCCATATCTGACTCTGTTTCTGTTTCTTTGGGAGGGAATCGGCCCTGACAAGGGTCCTCCCTCACAACTCTGTCAACACTCCAGGACGCTGGAAGGCAGAGTCCCGGTTTCTGTTAGTGAGCACCTCTCTCTCCTCTCTCTGTATCTCTATCTGTATCTCTCTCTTTCTCTCTCCCTCTCTCTCTCTCTTTCTCTCTCTCTCTCTTTCTTTCTCTCTCTTTCTCTCTCTCTCTCTCATTCTCTTTTTCTTCTTCATTTTTACAGAGGCCTCTATCTTACAGTGGGTATAAGGAATTGTGATAAGCCCTGTGTGAGGGAGGGAGGGAGGGAGGGAGGGAGGGAATGTGAAATTCAAGGTCTTGGGCTTGAATCTCCAATCTGTGGCTCCATGGTGAAAACTACAGAGCCCGAGTGGGCCCTAACCTGCAGTTCCGTGGCGACCTCATAAGGCTTAGGGCAGCATTGAGCCAAGCGCGATCCGAGTTGGGGTTTATACTGAGCTGCTGATGTCAAGTCCCCACAAGGGGCGCAGCCAGGTGGGCACCTGAGTGATCCCAATACGGGACCCCCCTCCTTTGTCTGTCTTTGAAATCACCGTTAATTGTTTATATACCTAAGTGTCTGTTGTGCTGTTTCTCCTTAACGTCTGAATTCGTATGTCCCATCGTCGTTATTGCCCAAGACGACTGGACGAGAACTTCTTTAAGGTTCTCAGTGCAGACTCCCTATCTCAGGATGCCAAAACCCTCATTGGTCATTTGGGCTGGCCATCTCAGTCCTGCCTTTTCTGTTAAAAACAAATTGTCGTTACGGGGAAAGTTGTGAAAAACATCCACCGGTTTGGAGTTTTCTGGCACCGTAATGGTTGTTGGCACCTGGATTGTCACACTCCACGCTCCAACGACTGGTCTGACTTCCCCTCAGACCAGTGGTGCATCCAAAATAGCCGTCCTGCCAACCTCCTCACCCATCTTTTTTGTCACCTTATAACTGTCCCTGTGCCCTTAAATAACGCACTGTGCAGGGAGACCTACGCCCACAAAGCCGTGTACCTGCTGCATTCTTATTACATTTTCTCACGGCTGCTCTCTGACCTTCGGGAAGATTCAAGTGGCCCTGTTCCTCCTCATCCCCATCCTTTACCCCGAGCATCTCATTTTCCTGTGTCTCAGCAGGCGCAGTGACTCCAAGACCTGGCTCTGATTTCCCTCCTCAAACCCTTAAACGGAAAGGCCGATTTTGAATATTTTGCCTTTGAGTCGTGGAGGTACCGAAAATATCGTGGCTATAAGTCGAGGAGGAGGTCACCCTAAATCCTCTTGGCCAGGGGCCCCTCGGCCCCCCAGGCCTCTTGCCTTCTCCCCATAACTCGAAGTTTAAGGAGACCCTATGTGGTGAGAAGTGTTGCCTAAAACCTTTTTCCTACTTCTTCTGGTTATAATACTCCTAGCTTGCAGATTCTCCAGGACCCCAGGCTGTGAATATCTCTGTCCATTCTGGGTCTAATATTTCTGCTTAAACCTTGTCAATTTGCCTCCAAAATGGGAAGCTCCTCTTCCCGCCCACAACCGCAAGACCCTCTCCAATGTATGTTGAAGAACTTTTCTCTGGGCTTCTCAGACAATTACGGAGTCTGGCTTAGAGGGGGAAAACTCTGGACTCTCTGTGAAGCAGAATGGCCCAGTTTTGGAACCACGTGGCCCCCAGAACGGTCACTGTACCCCACGACAGTCCAGGCTGTGTGGCAGGTCATCACTGGAAAGCCCTGACATCCTGATCAATTTCCCTACATTGATGAACGGCTACATTGGGTCCAGAATCCTCCTCCATGGCTCTGCCCAGGCGCCATTCACAATCCCACCTCCGAGGTCCTTTTGAGCTGCACTTCCGACCCCAGGCTCCTTCGGCTCCTCCCGTTCTGCCTCCCCGTGAAGAAGAGGACAATCCTCTTCACCTCTTGCCTCCACCCTTCAATCCTCCTGCCCTCCTAGGATCTCCCTCCGTCTCTCCTCGTCCTCATCTCCTGTGGACTCTCCGCCTATCGCCTCCCAGTTACGGCCCGAGACTGAGGAAATTGCCCCGATTCTCCCCTTCAGGGAGGCAGCACCCCTGTCAGGCAGTGAGTGCTCTGCTCTGTTTCTAGTCTATGCCCCTTTTCCACTTCCAACTTGTACAATTGGAGGGCCCAAAATCCTCCTTTTTCTGAAAAGTCCCAGGTCCCAACCCCACTGATGGAGCCCGTGCTCTGGACCCATCGGCCCACCTGGGATCATTGCCAGCAACTCCTTCTGAGCCTTTTCAGTTCCAAAGACGGGGACCGAGTCCAAAGGGAAGCCAGAAAGTATTTCCTTACCTCAGCTTGGTAGGCCAGAGGCGGAAGCCCAAAACCTCCTTGAGGAGGTTTCTCCTTCTGCCGGACCTGAGTGGGACCCCAGTACCTCCGGGGGAAGGAGGGCTCTGGATGATTCCCACCGGTATCTCCTTGCGGGTATTGAAGGAGCCGCTCGGAAAACCATGAACCTGCAGTTGTCCAGGGGCCCGAAGAGTCACCTGGAGTGTTCTCAGAGCGCCTCCAGGAGGCCTATCAAATTTACACCCTGTTTGATCCAGCAGCTCTCGAAAATAGCCATGCTATCAATTTGGCATTTGTGGCCCCGGCACCTCCTGACATTAAAAAAAAAGTTACAAAAAGTGGAGGGATTTGCTGGAATGAACATCACTCAGCGTTTACAAATAGCCCAGAAAATTTTTGACAATCGAGAGGTTGAAAAGCAAAAGCAGGCAGCTCAAGCAGCTGACTGGGCATCAAAAAGACAAGCAAAAGTCTTAGTGGCTGCCCTCCAGGAAGAACACTAGCCAGAGGGCCCCGGACCCCCACCAGAAAGGCCAGAATGGTGAGTGGGCTCCCCTGCAAAGGGACCAGTGTGCCCACTGTAAACAAACTGGACACTGAAAAAAGGAATGCCCATTAAAGCCAGAAAAGCAGCCACAACAGGAAAATGTCCTCACCCTACCCGCAGCAGAGGAATCTGATGACTCATGGGACCGGGGCTTCCTTTCGCTTGGCCCCCGGGAGCACGTCGTTACTGGTAACTGTGCGAGGGGTGGGGGGAGCAAGCAGTGTGTACGCTTTCTAATCGACACACTCTGTACTACAAACACCCTTGGGCAGTGTCTGTAACAAAAGAGTGGTTGTGCAAGGGGCTACTGGAGCTATTCAGGAATGCCCTGTCACCCACTCACGAGAAGTGAATTTGGGTCAAAAGAGACTGACCAAATCATTTCTCGTAGTCCCAGAGTGCCCCTTCCCCCTCCTTGGACAAGACCTGCTCCATAAGCTACAGGAGTCCATCTCCTTCTTGGCCCAACAAGCCCATCTTATGTTGGGAGACGCAGCACCTCCTGCCGCTCAGCTCCCTTGTAACTGCTCGCCTGTCGGAAAGGTATCTCTCTCTTGGTTTCATCCTCCCAACCACTGGAGGGTAAAAACTGATCTTCTCTACGGGATCTACAAGCTCCATTTCCCCGGGTGTGGACAGAGGCAAATCCTCCAGGACAGGCAAAACATCACCCGCCAGCGGTTGCGGAACTCCTGGCTACTGCTCTACCAGTCCAGGTAAAACAGCATCCTATGTGTCAACGAGCATGGGAGGGAATAAACCCCCACATTCAACGGCTATTACATGCCAGTGTACTTATGCCTCGTCAGTCCGCCTGGAATACTCCATTTTTGCCGGTCCAGAAGCCTGGAACAAATGACCGCCAACCGGTACAAGATCTGCGGTAAGTCTTGTACCAACCAATGGACAGTCACAGTCCCCCGACTGTCCCTAACCCT